CCTGCATTTTTTTGTTTAATAAACATTCTTGGTTTGTATGTGTAGTTATTTCAAATTTTTCTTGTAGACATAGTATGCATTTTTTGGAAATATATATATATATATAACAATATTTCCAAAAAATGCATACTATGTCTACAAGAAAAATTTGAAATAATTACACATACAAACCAAGAACGCTTATTAAACAAAAAATCGGAATTGATTTCTAAATGCAGTCTTTATTGATGAAACACAGTGTTAAATGAGAAAAAATTTTGCTAAGTGATTTCCTACTAATTTGTTATTTATATATATACTTTTCTACTAGTTTGTTTTGATTATTACAAATTATTAATCTACCCTTAAATCAAAAAACCATTAAATACAAACCGTTAAGTATTACTGAATTCCCGGCATTAAAGAGTTTTTTGTTGTAACACGTCGGATTGTCTGCCTGACCTTCTAGATAAAATTATGGAATAATGGTAGAATACAATATCAATGTCATTTAGGTTGCGTATAACTAGAAAAGTTGTTACTTACAATTTAATTGCTTATTTTATCAGATATTCATATTTTAGTTAAAGAACAATTTAAGTCAACCCCCATATTGTCGTCAATAATAATTTTTTTAACTTTGCACAACTTTTGCTAAGTATTATTCAGTTAAGACAACAACTTTTTTCAAAAAAAACTCATTTAAAGGAAATGTCTAGAAAGGTAAGTCGAACTACCCTAAAAATTTGGACTGGCCTTAAACAAACTGAGTGTGCGCAATATGAGAGATTGCAAAATGATTAGAGAAATGTGTAACAAAAATACCTGATTCAAAATGATCTAAAAAAATATTAGTTAAAATATTATCTAGTGTGGACGAAGTAGTTTTTGTAATACGCGTAGACTTAAAAATGGTAGATATTATGTTAAATTTAAGTAATGAGTTAAAAAAGTTTTTTATATTAACAAACTTTTCATAACACATTGCATCGAAGCTCAAATGGGAAAAAATTACTACATCTGTCCAACAACATCCGTGAAGTAGTGAAACAACATCCGCACAATTTTGTTCAAGATCATCCGCTCTTTTTCTTTACTGAATTAACATCTGCCCAACAACATCCAAAATTTCATTGAAGTCTAATAACATCTTTAGAAAGATGTAACTACAGCCGGGAGTTTTTCTTGATGTGTTACTAAATCCGCCTAAAATAATGCATTATTAAATAAAATATATTTCCGGACGTAGTTACATCAGAAAAAAATCAGATGTGTAATCACATCCGGTTAAAATAATGCATTTTTAAATTAATTTTTCCCGGATGTAGTTACATCCGAAAGAAAATCAGATGTATATGCACAGATATTGTTTTACTTCAATGAAATTGCGGATGTTGTTGACAGTTGTTATAATACATCAATGAAATTTGGAATGTTGTTGCACGGATGTTATTAAACATCAATGAAATTTCGGATGAGAAATTGTTATTAGACATAGCAAAAACGTTATTAGTCATAGCAAAAACGGATGTTGTTACCCTTACCCATTTAAATCACCGGCGAAAAAAATATGCTTGTTCTAAATACTCATTTGTGATATAATGGTTCTAAGGCTATTATGAAAGTAAATTTGCTTACCGCATGGCGGTCGATAAAATGAGGAGATTAAAAAAGGCTTCCCTGTTTTATTAAGAATTTCAATACACAAAGTTTGAATATGTTTGTTTGCTTTACAAAAAATATTTTTTGCTTTAAATACAAGCTTGTAGAGGATATAAAACGCCGTCTCTTATGCTTCGAACATGTGATTTACTTATTATTTTATACGATGATAAATTGTACAAAAAATTTTCTGACAAAGGCAGTTTTGCATCTTCTTAAGTTAGGTACATATAACATCAAAAAATAGTTTATAGAGTAAAAAAAATGTCTAAAAGCTTCAAAGTTTTTAATCATTGATCTTATGTTTATACTTTAAATACTAAAAACTTTATTGTTTTTTTCTCCATTAAACTCGTCAGGTTTATAGCAAGAGTTGTTGAGACAACTTATATTTATTTTAGTCCAAAAACTATATTAATTTTTGTTAGTTCTCAAAAAGTTTAAAATTGAAGGCTCTTAGTTTTTAATATTATTTGTTTTGATTATTCTTGTAAGTTGAACTCATTTTTTATTAGATCGTTTGATAATTTTTAATCAGAGTCAATAAGTAAAATAAAGAATAAAAACCAGACAAATGAATTTTCGATTCACTTTTTTTTGTCGTCGCAATGCTTATACTAGACACTTCTTTTACGACCAGCGGTCATCAGGACCAGCAGTTTCAAGAGAAATACCAAGTATAATCTTCGCACATTTTCCTTGACTTAAATGCAAATAATTGTGCAAATAATTCTTTGTGGATTCTCATAGTTTCTTCACTAAAGTCTTTATTAATGAAGATATTTTTCTTCTTAAGATTTCTTGCCGTAGCCAAAACCTTTTCTTTTTCTTGCCAGTTTAATAATTTGCAAATAATTGCCCTTGGTTTGTTTTCAAATTTTCTAACTCGATAGGCTCATTCTATGATTATTAATTTATTTGTAGGTACTCTTTAATAGGCGTTTTTAGTTTTATTAAAACATCATCGTATATCTCATTTTGACCCTCTATAACACCCACAATTAGCAAATCGTTTTGGCGATTGCAATTTTTCAACTCGACTATTTTTCTTTTATTCATGGTCGATTTGCTGACTAATTTTCCTTGAAAAGATTTTATTCCGATTAACGAAGTTTTAATTTCGTCATTTTTTTATCAACTTTGATTATCTTTGTCTCAAGTTGATTACAGTAAAAATTTAGGCCTTTAAGGTCTTTGACATCTTTTTCTAAGCTATCAAATTGTTTTTGGAAGCATCTGAAAGTTTCTTTAAAGCACTTTAAAATTGTGTCAGATTGAATTGACATCACGTAGCATTCCCATAGTAACTATCCTTTCATTCTCCATAGCAATGATCAAAAAATTAAAAAAATAAAATACATATAAATATCTCTAACTTTCTTCGTTTACACGTGCGCTCTGCCCAATCTTTAAAAGATTGTACTACGGCAGATTATTTTCTCTTTTTGTTTTGTTCTCTTTTTTTTTTGTTTTTGTTTTTCGTTGTTTTTATTCCTCTTACACAATTGAAGTTGATCAACATTACAAATGACATTGAATTTTATCTAAATTTATAACGTTTTTAGTAAATTTTACATAATAAAAGTTAAACATGTCAACATTTTAACTTTTTAAATATTTTATGTCTTGCATTTTGCATATTCTAATCAAGTTTTTTACAATAAAAATTATTATTTATTTATTATTTACTATGCATCATTCATCATTCACAGCAAGATAATTAAAAACAGAAGCGGTTCCAGGATATTTTGGATTTTGAGATAGCTAACTTCCAAACATGGATCAAACACCAAAGATCAAACACCAAAGATACTTATGTGAAACAATTGTTGCACATAATTATGTGCATAGTAATTATATGCATATTATTACTAAGGATGATTTGCCTTGAAATGAATTTCGCTCTCTGCCCCAAACGTGAGAGCAACAAGTTAATAAAATAATTTTTTATGTTGTTTTTTATTTGGTTTTTAAGTTGTTTTTAAGTTGTTTTTTAAGTTAGGACCATATTAAATTTGTGACCCTTTCAATTTGAGGGGGTTGTAAATTATGGTCATTCCTTTAGAATGGTAAATGGTTATATTAGAAAATTTAAAAATTTTCAATGAATATAAATCTAGTTAAAAACAGTAAAAAAAATACTTTATCAACTTGTTGCTCTCGCGCTTGAGGCAATTGGCAAAAATTTTGGGTTTTTTTGTTTCCAGGCTCCAATCATCGCAATTTTTCGCAAATCATCTATGTTTGACATAAGTATAAACAATTTAATGTTTAGAGTTTTCTTCATGCTGAAAAATTTCTCAAACACCGAAAAATGTTGGATCCACCCCTGACGAAAAGTGAACAATTCTTTTTTTTTTTTTTTTATTTATAAATCTAAAAATTTAATTTAAATAATGCATTATATTTTTGTTCAAAATAAATTTATATATTTATAAATTAAAAAAAAATAAAACAGAATTGCTAACTTTTAGTCATCTTGCCGTGAATAATGACTAAATAAAAAATTAAAAATAATAAATGAATAATAAATTTAATTATGAAAATTTATTATAACTTATAATAATTATTATTATATTTATAATTATTATTAAGCTACATTAAGGCAGCTTAATTAAAATGACTTATAAATATAATTTAATTAACTAATTTAAATAGCTTCGTGCTTTAAATGCATTGCAATAAATGTATTACACTTAAAACTCAAAAATATTAATTGGAGCTGAATGGATAAAATTAATTATACTATATTAACTATGCTAATTAACTTAATCGTAGTATTATTTCTTTAGTAAATATAATGGTAGTATTATTTCTTTAGTAAATATTTACATAAATCTTTTACACTTAACTAATTATTTCACTTTTTATAGGTTCTAGGCCTTGATACATTACATCAAATAAGAGAAGGATACAAATGGATAATCTAAATAACAATAAAAAAAGAAACAAAGACAATTTGAATGACACTGAGTCTATAGATGTTAATGATGCACCTTCAAAAAAGTTTAAAATGCATGAGGATGGGGTTTCCATATCAACACTAAAAAACATGATTCAAACCAACGAAAGTTTATCAAGTACCCAAAGCAAGGCTGAAGACATAATAAGAAAACAAGAGACAGTTTTAGTCAGGAATGACGAGGATGACATACAATTTTCGCACATACGATATTTTCCTGATGAGCCAAAAATAGATTTATTGAAGGTTGATTTCAAGTTTAATTCTGATAACTTTTATAATACCAATACTTTTCCAAGAGGAACTTTAACAATAATAAATGTAAAAAACTTTATGAAATCTTCTAATATGCATGAATACCCTAGATTAGGTACAGATGTTGATGCAGAGAGTTTATGTGATCTTTTTCTAAAATTAGGTTTTAAAATAGATAGGTTTAATAATCCCAAGTCAACTGATGTATTAAACATACTGAAGCAGGCAGCAAATGAAGATTATTCTTTAATGAGTTGTTGTGTGGTGGCAGTACTAACACATGGAAAAGAAGGGGAAATCTTTTGCACAAACGATACTTTAAATATAAGTGAAATAACAAATATATTTTGCACTAAAGCTTTAGCAGGAAAACCAAAATTATTTTTAATTCAAGCTTGTCGAGGAACAGAGTACATGGAATCATTAGACAAGGTTGATGGTCTCGGAACTGGATTGTCAAATAAAGCAAATGTCCTGGATCTACCTGTTGAAAGCGATTTTTTGTACGCTTATTCAACAGTTCTAGGTTATTATTCCTGGAGAAATGAAGAACTTGGTTCGTGGTTTGTTAAAGCTGTTGTTTCTGTCTTTTGTGATTACGCCCATAAAATGGACGTTGTTCGACTTTTAACACGCGTGAACGAAGTATTGAGCGAAAAAACATCAAATACCAGAGATATAAGAAAAAATAATAAAAAACAAATCGGTTCAATAATCTCTCAATTGCGAAAAGAATTATTTTTACCACCAATTTATGGACCTATGGAACCCTTATAAGATAGTAAATTTTTAAAAAATATTTACAAAAAAGTCTTGTTTTTTATATTTCGTAGAAAACTGAAATATATCACTGAAATTCATATTTGAGGTTTTTATTAAACTTATGTAGAAGTTATTAACAACATTACGTACACAACCTATGTACAAATTAGGGTGATTAAACAACATAATGCGCACAACCTATGCAGAAATTAGGGTGCTTATTCACAAAATTATGTGCACAACTTATGCAGAAATTAGGGTGCTTATTTACTACATTACATGCACAACTTACGTAAATATTTTTTTTTTATAATTATTTGATATTCGCAAACCTTTTGCAGCATTTGCGTATAGTTGCCTTTAAAAACTCATATATAAGTTGAACGCTGAATAACTTAAATATAAAATTTGAAATCTATCAATGAATACATAACAAGTTTACATTTATGAAAAAATAAATAACTCAACTCATTGCCCTCACGTTTAATTTTAGGGTTTCTTGTTCCTATTCTCACAGTAATTTTATTTTGTAAAGAATCTTTTCGTCATACATATGAACGTAAAAAAAATATGAATGTTCCTTTTGTTTAAAAGTTGGTAATTTCAAACATGTAAAAACCTTCCTACGCGACTGAATCTCAGTATCCGGATACTTCTTGTGAAAGTATTTAAATATCTTTTATTAAAGAGACCATATTATATGGTTGCGTATCACAATACTTAGCAAACTTTATCGGTTAACACTTTTTTTTTTTAATACCATAAAAAAAAGATTTTTGTTACTTAAATAACTTTTACTTCGTATAACGTTTTAAAATAGAAAATAAAAAGACCATAACAAAAGTTTACTATTATTGTATTATATTAATAGTATGCAACTTAAATTAGCCCTACCTAACTAGTTTGAAGAGGGAGAATAAAATATTGGTTCAACAAAGAAGTTCTGATTTAAAGCAGTCAAGAAAGTAGAAAGCCAAGAACAAAACTAAGACCATGACATTTGGGTTCAAAGCCAAGATTAAAACATCAAAAAGTCAATCCGAGATTAATACCAAAGTATTCAAGACCGTGACTAATATGAGACAAGACATCAAAAAGACAATCCAAGACCAAGACTAGCTGTTAATATTTTTTACAAGACAAATTTCAAGCCTTAGGTTATTAGTAGTCAAACACAATGACGCTAAAAATAAATATGTACTATTTAGCTATTGTATTATTTTACCATTTATTCACATTACTCTATAATGTAACGTAATTAAGCATATAAAATATACACATGGAAAAAACATGTACCGTAAACTGGTGTGGCTTTTGCGTTTTGCACCTTAACGCCTCGTGCATGTAAACCAGAAAAATTATTTACTCAAACTCTGAGTACTGTTAGATACAAAAGAAAAAGGAATTAAAAGATACATCAAATAAATAAAAGCAGGAATTTGAAGGTACAAAAAACATTAATTTACCATAATAATGTATAAAAAAAGTTTTTGCAACAAAGGTTACATAAAACGTATAAAAAATAAAGGTACAAAGTTGACAAGTTATAATTTTGTTTGAAAATTATTTTGCAATACACCTAAAGTTATATTATTACACAGGAAAGCCGTGGAACTCTTTATGTTCAAAGAAAATATTTTTTTTTGTAGATATAAATAATGGCCAGCCATCATGCTTTTTGAGGTACGCGTGTTTAATTTTTTTAAACTTTTCAATGCATTATGGTGTTTGAAACAGGTTTACTGCTATTCTACATGTTTTTTTTATAATTTCATATTTAAACTTAGTTTGAGAATTATACTGATCTAATTGTGTATTACGAACATTTACACGGTTTACGATATTTATACGGTTTACGACATTTATACGGTTTACGACTTTTATACGGTTTTAATATTGCACTACTAATACAAAATCCTAATTTTTACCATTACAACACAAAAACTATTCGAAAACTTACAAATAATCGCTAAAATTATTTCATAACAGTTTTCTTTTACTAAATTTAGTGTTTTTAGTCTGGGTCAACATATGTTGTGGGCGAAAAGCCTATTTTACTGTACTAAAACGTTTGGTTCAACATGAAATAAAAATTTGTGTTGATAAGATATAAAAAACTAAATTTAACAGACTGAAGATAATTTACTGTTGCAGTGTGGTTGGCTCTCATATCAAAAAATTTAAATTGGCGTAAATAGGTTTAAAATTAGTGTGTATAACAAATCTATATGGTTAACATAAATGATATCAATTATTACTTAGTCGGACCACCTTTAATAATTTTATGATGGGATGCCACCTTTAATAACTATATAACGGGATGCCACCTTTAATATATTAATAATGGTGCCACCGTTAATATCTGGATAATGGTGCTTATGAGCATCATTTTGGAAAACTAAATAACTAATAATTTGCGAGCCAACCATATAAAAATCAATCAAAGTAGAGCAGAAAAGATTTTCTATTCTTAATTATTCAAGTTGAAACGTACAATTCTACAAAAGTATTGTCGGAAGTTCTTTTTTTATGGAGTTATTGTCTGCAAAAAAACTGGTAAAAGTCACAATGTCTTTATCGTCGTCAAAAACATAAGATCCATTTAATTAATTCTGTGGATCGAATCTCACATTCCTAAACATTTTTTGGTAAAATGAGAACCCTTGACCCGTAATGAAAAATTTCGCATTTATTATACTGATGCACACTTTCACTAGGGTATCCGCAATGGAAAATTCAGTCAGAATCCGCAGTGCTCTCATTTCTTGCTCCACGCCAACTAGTTAGCTCAACCACAACTACCCGATTGTTTACCAACAATCTGCAACATTAAAAGGTTTTTTCTATGCAACAAAATTGAGATCTTTTACTGATATTTCTTGTGTTACTGAATTTATGCTGAACCCAATTATATAATCAAAAATAATAATCAAAAAATATTTTCTCAAACCAGTAGTAATTACACTTACATAAACAGAATTACAGCTCAACAGAATCCATTCTGTTGAACAAAGTTCAGCTTTTTTGTGCCACTTATCACTTGGCGCATTTCTAGAACAAAATTGATTTGCATTTTTTTTTTTAATAAAATTTTTAATAAATTAATTTAATTAGTTTGTGAGGAAACAATGTTTTACTGTTTTAAGCAGTTTTTGTTTTATATTTGAGTAAAATTTATTAATCATGTAAGCACTATATATTATTTCTATTTTTCTTGAAAAACGTTTCTCACGATAAAATTATTGTGTTCCTCTTTTAGAAGATTTGTTTGTATTTTTAAAACATGTAATACGTATATTATGTCAAATTAAAAAAATATATATATCAGCAGATGTTTCCCAAGCAGCTTTAATAGCGTTAAACAACATTACAGTTGTTGTAATAGTACTAGACTTCACTAATTATGATTTTATTTTCTTAAGTAGAAAATATTGTCAAATAGGATTTTTTAAACAAATTAAACTTTCAACACTATAACCGCTTAGAAATTGCTCCAATGCTTTTGATGGTATTTACCGTCTCTTGGAAAACAAATACTTCAGTGATCATTAGAAGCCAGCAAACAAAACATTAGTTTTTAATAGTGATGTGCCGGGTACCCGGTTCGGACCCGGGGACCCGGCAGTTCGGCTGTTTTATCGGGTATTCGGTATCAGCCATTTTGTTGCAGTACCCGGCACCGGGTATCTTCAAATTGATTTTTCCTTAAATTTAAACTTTAACTATTAAACTTCTTGATATAAGTCTGAGAATATTATGTAGTCGATAAAAACAAAGGTCTGTTAACTTAAAACAATCTCACTTAAAATATTTTTTTATACATTTTTGCAAAAAAATTTATACGGACACAAAAACTGTAACGCTAAATGAAATAATTCGAGAATACGAATAAAAAGAATAGGAAAAAAAGTTTTAGAATAGCTTCTTTTTATTCTGTTAGTACTCAAGATAATTTTTAGCAATTTAGTTTTGAATGAAACGCTTATAATGCTTTCGAACGCTGATACCACTTTTCATTCGTATCAAGCAAAAATCATAAAAGTAGAGATATAAGGTAAATATTATACACATTTTTCATATTTTAATTTCGATAATAAATATAACAAAATATTATTTAGGCTCGCTCCACCAGGAAAGAAAAAAATTTTAAACTAAATATAGTTATTAAAAAACTGTTGCACAACTTACCCTGCTCCTTTACCCTGCATTGCGGGGTTTTGCTAAATGGTACTTCCGCCACATAACTTTTGGTTAGTTAGCATAAAAAGGAACAGTTCAGCGCTAGAGATTTTACAAGTTTTTATTACAACTTTTAAAAAATGGACTCGGTACCGAGTACCCGGACTCGGACCCGGTTTTTTCAGCCGGGTACCCGGAATCGGAGACTCGGCATAAACTGGTTTCGGCACATCTCTAGTTTTTAAACCACAAACCTGCTCTCGCTAAATGACTGTCGTCGAATTGCTATAACATTCTCATTAAGTAAAGTTTTAGAAATTTATTGTCTATTACACTAAGCTTAATCATGACAAGTTACTGCTAAAGTTAATGAGCGTTCTTTCTAAATGGCTTATATCCTGAATTATAGCTAATTTATCCAATTGTCGTCAAAAAGTAAATACAAGTGATCACATTGCTGATTATGCAAACATATATAAAACCAGAACAAACCAGGGTTGTTGGTCAAATCTAACTCATTCTCTTAATTCCAGACATGAACAGCTGCCTCCAACCTGAAACCTTTTCTGAAAAATATGCTGATGACATACTAACTAACATCAATGATAAAGTTTTTTCCAACTTTCCTCCGTTGTTGATAAGCTGCATTACGTTCAGAGATCTATTGAAAATAACTCTACAGCTCAAAATGTAGACTCAATAAAAAGTAAATCCAGGTGCTCCAATAACCATGCTCTACCATTGCTCATTCTCAATAGCAAAAAAAATAGGCACCATCTGCTCCTGTCGTCACCTGATGACAGGAGCAGATAGTGCCTATTTATTTATGTACTACCCTCTAGTTAGTATAGGGGTAAAACAAATCTATCTATTTATTACTTATTGATTTTAGTTACCTATCTAAAACAAAATTGTTAAAACTAGTGCCTTCGCTTTTATGTTCATAAATTAAACATTTAATACTCGTCTAACTAAAGAAGTGCACCAAAGAGAAGACAAGCCATTGGACTTAGCCCTCCATTTGATATGGAAGAGATAAGAGAAAAGGGTAAGAGAGAGAAATATAAAGATAGAATTTGTCTATTATAAATAAATTCTGGTTTATAGATAATATACATATATATATAAAATGATATTTTATTGACAACCTAAAACAAACATGTGAAAACATATATTTTATAGTAATATATTTTTCATTTTCTTTTTTTGCATAGGAATAGAAGTTTCCGTTTCTTTAATTCTTTAAAAAGATACTTTAAAAGAAATGATTTGTTTAAAACAGTTTAAAACAATAACTGGTTTTATGAATCGTTTTTTATGATTATTACAGAATTTTTTAAGTAAAACTCAGACAAGTAATTGGTTTTATATTCAGGCTTTTTACGAATAATTAAGGCATTATTCGTTTCATTTTTATGTATTAACGGAACCGAGAGAATTCTTTTGATCAAACTTTCCTTCAAATTTTATTTGCCGTCTAACGGAGAATCAGGCATATGAATCCTAAATCAATAGGGATTTTTTTGGCCTTGTTTACGGTAAACAAAACAAAACCATTCTAAAATCTAAATTTTGTAATTAAAAGGGTTTTTCATCAATTCTGTTTGTTTAAAAAATTGAATCCTTAAGTACATTTCAAAGCGGTTTTTTGATTATAGAGGAGGAAATCTTTTTTTTTTATCTATTTATTTACTTAAATTCCTCATAACATCTATCTAATTAAATTCTTCATAACATCTATTTATTTGCTTAAATTCCTCATAAATCTAATATATAACATCTAATTTTCTAATATATGTCTATAAATATATATATAAGGGTGGGGCATAAGACATTAAAGTCAAATAAATAACACTATAATATTTTTTTGTGGTTCTTTTTGATATATTATTATAAGCGTTAGGTGGAGTACCTATGGTTGGTCCCAATATATCAAAAGGTTATGGTTGGCCCCAGCAGTCTATAAATACCAAAAGTTTCTATTCTTTATACATATATAGGGATTTTCAGCCATTCTGTCTTATGTAATGTTGTTTTTAATAAATCTAAAAAAAACAGCTTTCTAGACTAACTAAATCTTTAAATTTTTATTTTTATTTTCTTTCATTATCAATAAAAATTTCAAAGCTGAGTTTTCCTATATTATAACCGGCAGGCTTAGCTGTTTGAGATAATTAAGGAGCTATTTTATGTAACTGATCTACAGACAAACTTTATTAGCAAGACACATTACCACAAACTTCTTATTTAAATACCAAGTGTGTTTTATTAATAACTTCAAAACAGCTTCTTTTGATTGAAGGCAGAATTTAGTATATTCTATCATTTTATTAATAGTTTTAAGATCAAAGGAGAATTTGGAAAGCTGTTTACTTAACCAAAATAGAGTTTTGTATTATTATTGTAATACACAACAAACATCAATCAATATATACGCTCCTGTTAGTTGATCACTCTTCTCGAGTTCGTACACAAGATTAAGAAAATTAACTTCAACTACTACCAAAAGTATTCCAATTCCATCGGAAAAGAATTTTTAATACAGTTAATACAGAAAACTGAGTTCTCATAAAAATAGGCAAGTGGAAAGCTTTATTTTTCATAAACAAATTAATTTGAAAATATGAACAATTGGGTCCACAAATCCTTCTGCAGCATGCTTTAAAACAAACGAACTAATTTCATCAAAACCTATCGCTTTTGACTCGTCTATACCTTCTAACATTTTGAGAATTTTTTCATAGGTAATTATGTTAGATAATTTACTGCAATCGCTCTGGGCCTCGCATCTTTGCAAGAATTCGGGTATTGGTTGGTCATTATCATTAACAAAGACTGACTGAAATCGCTTATTGAATATGCTCAATCCAGTTGACTTGTTTCAAGTATTTATTTATTTGAAAAAAATTACCTTTTCTAAAGTTTTTTGTGAGTACTGTATTGTTACTAAGACTAGTAAAATATTGCCAAGTGATGGAGTAACGGTATCATCCCTTTTCATAGTGGCCTAACTGTGGACCAAATTGAAGAAAATCAATGCAATTTGGATTGCAAACTAAAACAAGGGTGTTAACTGCGGAAACAGAGTCATTTTGCTTAAATGTTGGAAAATTTGCTATTCGGTATAGAGAAGAATTATTTAAAACTTTAATAAATTCATGTTCAATTGAGTTTCCATTTGAATGAATTATTGAACCATCATCTGTCCATTCTATATTAGGAAAATTGAAATCTCCGACCACTATGAGATCAGTGTATTTTTTTCCACTTTTGAGTTTTGAAGTGGTTCTGATTGAGTCTAGAATCAATTTTGAGTAATCAGCCGTAGAGTTTGGTGGTCTATATACACAACCAACAACTAAATGAAAATTATTACAATTTATTGAGCACCAGACTTGTTCGATCTCTTTGTTGTTAAGATGCACATTTACAATTTCTATATTTGTAAGTCTTTTAATGACATAAATGGCAACACCTCCTCCAGTTCTATCTCTATCTGCCTGATACAGTTCATAGTCATCAATTATTTTAATCGAATATAATTTAAGCCAAGTTTCTGCAATTGCAATAACATCAACTTCATATGCCAAAGCAAGTGTGGACAGCTCAGATTATTTATTAGAGTTACATGAGGTAGCATTAGTATAATAAAATTTAATTGGTTTATAGTTAGTTCTAGTATTTTGCTTTAAATAAATAGGAAGTTTTACATTACTCAGGTTTTGATAAGATTTATAACATTGGCTGATATGAGTCCCTCCGGGCCTGCTTGGCAATGCTCTCTTTGACAAATGGGTCATCTTTGCGGTTGCAAATGTCTTTTGTTGTAGTGACGTCGATGCACAGTAATTTTCCGCTTCTAATGACAAATCGAAAGGGCTGGTCTAGGTTATTATTGCGTTTCAAGTCCTCGTTCGCCTCCTTTCTTTCTTTAATTAATTATGCAAATTCAGCCTGCTCATCAAGAGAGCGGTCAGGCCTTATATATACTTTTTTGTTGGCCTCAATAGTTGACAGTTCTCTTGCTGCAGCCAGCATCTCGTTTCGTGCTACTTCATTCTCAAATTCGACAACTAACGGTTCAGATGCATTGTTTACCAAGGAACTTTAGATCATAATCTGAATGTTGATTTTATTATTATTCGTCTGTTCAGCGAACGTATTAATTTGTTGACCATGTTCTCGTCATCTGTCTTGCGATCCTCGATTATAGTTTTTTGTGAGTTAGGCAAAAAACTATAATCGAGGATCGCAAGACAGATGACGAGAACATGGTCAACGAATTAATACGTTCGCTGAACAGACGAATAGTAATAAAATCATATATATATATATATATATATATATATATATATATATATATATATATATATATATATATATATATATATATATATATATATATATATATATATATATATTATTATTATTATTATTATTATTATTATTATTATTATTATTATTATTATTATTATTATTATTATATATAAAAAAAAAAAATTCATAAAAAAAAAATTAAAAAAAATTGATGTATGAGAATAGATGTATCTGCAAACTATGTATATATGATACCTCTGGAAATAAACTATCTTTTGAAAGTGGTTTATCACTTCTCTTGGTTGAAACGTAAACGTAAACGCACCAACATTTGATAATTTTGGCCTCGCACACAGAGACACCATCATTTGGATTTCTAAATTCTTCTACACAATCTTTTGGACGACCTTGAAGTTCATTTGGATGTACCTAGTGCAGTCATACTCTTATTATTTTCGCTTATTTATTAATTAATTAACAATTAAGATTAGTATAATTGTAAGATACATTTGAGTAACAAGATTCAGTGATCGTATAAATGCGAGTGAGATGCGAGACGTGTTCGTTTATCAAGAATATTATGATATTATTGTTTTCGCTTGAGTCGTGCGATTCAGAAGAATTAGTATTTAAATTCAAACCATAACTACAGAAAGGTTTAAAATTTGTATTTATTTATTTATTATTTTTTTAAAATCCGAACTTAGTTCAACGTTCTACATAAGCGGTTCTAAATAAACTCAAATTTTTATAAAAAATAAACTAAAAACTAAAAACTAGAACTTTTGCAATTTTTAAAACAAATTAAAAAGGATTATTTAAAATAAAAAATAAAATAAAAGATGTTGAAATTCAGAAGTTGGAGTTGAATCTCTTTCATGTGGACTTTGGTTTACTAGATTACAACAATTATTTGGCCACGCTTATTGGGTAAAGAAAAAAATGAAATATTTTTAATTTGCATATCTACAAATACACACATATTTATGTAATTAAAAAAAAAAAAAATAATAATATGAATTTAAAATAAAAGTTATACATTTTTAGGACGAAAATATGTTTAAGTAACCTAGTCCTAGCTTTTTTTTATCAATCCTGGCCATAAAAAATTTAAATCTCAGTAGCTTACTAGCCTAAGTAAATTTTTATCTGTTGCCTAGATAAAAAAACAATGCAAAGCAGCATAACGTTTCTTAAAATCCACTTGTAAACATATTGTTTTATACTGTATATTTTCAGAGCAGGATAATTCTAATGCAGCTCTACATACACATGGTATTCTTGTTGTATTTACCTAACATATTCGTTTTCCAATTAGCTTATGCTCGGGTCGAATTTCAAAATGAATAAAGCCATTTTTTAGTTCAACCTGTTGCAACCAGATCTTAAAATAAATCCATATTTCTTTAACAATCTCAGGCCTCTCACTCCTAAAACAGGGTAAAATTTTATGATTTTAGGACAATCTTTACAAGTTTTTTATGATTTCTTAGGACAAATTAGTGTTAAATCTAGGATATTTTAGAACAATCTAAAATCATATATAAGTTTCCGCATTTAATTTTTTAAAATTGGGTTAGAGAATTATCAACCCTTTAATTTGAACTTTTATCAATACATTGTTTACCCTTTAATACCCTTGGAAATTGCATACGTTCATTTAAAAATAAAAACAAACCAAATACAATTTAAATAAAAAACTCTTGAACTTAATAACGACAACTATTACATGTAAATTGTCTGCAAGTAAAAACTTTTATGTAAAATACTAAATAAAGTACCAAAAATAAATATGCTTTTATTATTTTATTGCTTTATAAATGAGTAACAGAAACAAAGCAAAGAATGTTAATAAACTTTTTATTTTATAAATTTTACATCATTCTATTGCCTCAATTGCACCTGAATCATGCAAAGCACAATGTAACTAAATGTTTTTTTTATTTGAAAATGCATTCTTTGGGGCATTATTTCCATGACAAAGCGAAAAAACAACTTTAAAAATGGATTTAATATTAGGAAATTTAGGTAAACCGCTATCATTCAAAATTTTAGTTTCAAAGAAGTTAATTTATGAATATCAAAACTACATAAAAATGTTGAAGAAGCTGAAAGACTTTTTTCAAATTTTGATAAGGAGATATCAAACTTCATAAAAAGGCTTTTTTTTAAAGTTTAATATCTCCATATTGAAACGAATTCTTCACATTTATAACAGCGATTCCATTTGGTAAAAGCGCCATTTGTTTCATACACTAAAACAAACCTCTTCCTTTGATGAACAGGTTGGAAAAACTATACATAAGACTACTTCCAATGATTTACATACTTCTATAATGAGATTTGAGACAACCATTAGAGACTTCTTTATTTTGAAGTATCAAAAAAGATTGCATTTTTTGTAAATAACTGATTCCAAGGTTATTTAATTATCAGCAATTTATTAATAGATTAAATGGAATTGCTACCATTATTATTAACATCTAGAAGCTTAGTTTTGATAAACTTGAACATTGGTGCCACTAGAGATTTTAACATTTCAGAGTAAATCATGTGAATTCTTAATTTAAATGATTAAAATGGTTTTAAAAATATTTTAAAGTCATTTATAATGAAAACAATAAAAGAAATAAAAGGCATTGATATTTTATTTTTCAAAAAATTTGTAATTCTCTTACATCTTTCAGTAATTCTAACAGTTGATTTTAAAGATGTTGTTGGAAGAAACTTTATAAAATTTTCACAAAGATTCTTGTGTTTTTCTAAACACTGAGATCATATTCTTCTAAGTGTCAACCAACTTGTAAAAGAATGTCTTTAAATAGAGTGTGAAATAATTTTTTTGATCTTCTTTTTGTCAATAGTCCAATCTTCCAACGTCAGAATGTTTAAAGAAAAAGTTAAAATTAATTGCAAATGAGTTGATGCTAAAGTTTAAAACATTAACTCCTGCTCTAAATGATTTATGAACTATATGCAAGAAGCGTGTGCCTATTAATATATTTGTATTTGAACTTTTCATTTTCTCTGACTATTTTAAAAGCCTCTCAAATTTATCAATATGGATTATAAACTTCATGTTAAGTTTGTTAATTTTCTCTACAAGCTCTAGGAAATGTTATAACTTTTCAGTAGTACAACAGTCTACCATGAGAGTTCCATAGTATGCAATTTTGATGTACTTATGCTTTTTTACACCAATACTGTACATAGCCATCATTCAGTTTATTAACTTGTTGAGTTGTAGATTCATCAAATTTAAGTTTAAAGGCAGTTTGTTTAAGTCCTCCATTAATAATGTTTATGAATATGGAAAGATGCTTTTATGAACGGTGTATTTAAACTTTGTTTTCACTTATCTGTATTCTTTTTGGCAAGTTTTGAATCTAGGAACATTGCCTGAAATATTTTACTAACTCCGTTGGTTGAGGCAAAAGAATAGTTAGTCTGGACGCACTTCGTTTTCTTTTATTGTCAAATTATGAGATACTTTGATCGATTTAAACTTAGCATCGGCAAATTTACTCAGATGCTTTATTAGTTTTTTTGACAATAATTTGCTAGTTTTACCAACAATGGTCTTGAAAAACGTTACATCATTGTCTGTAATACCAAACCAGATCACTTTAATTATATTTTTCTTAACAATATCTGAAGAAATTACAGTAAATATTTCAATACAAAATTACTCATTTTTTTGGAATGATTTATTTAATGAGCTAATGTTAATTTCTGATACTCTTAATAGAATTATGTTGTTTGGCCTTTAACTTTATTTTGTTAGTCGCTAATTTATGAGTTTACCTGCACAAGTAAACTTTTACAAAACAAATGTCTTGTTAAAAAATAAAGAAGTAGAGGGCCTTAAAAAGCATTGGGTAGGTAAGATTTATTTTCTCTTCAACACACTTTTTTACTGAAAAAAACTTATAAAAGACACCAATAATGCATTGTCTATGCTTTCATTTCTACGCTGCTGACCAAGTAATCGAAGTTACTGTTCATTTGCTTCTTTAATTACAGAAACAATTTTTTCTACATCTTCATTCTCAAAATTCTTAATCGTTCAAAATTTTTGCAATATTGTGCAATATAAATCATGCAGTGATACATGTAGCAATTATATCTGGCCTAATTTTTACCTATAAAGTTTTTACACCACAGTTACTGTTGATTGAATCAAATACATTTTGATTAGGGTTTTCAGCAAATTCTTCATAGGGTTTATCTATTCTTACATAGGTGCAATCAATAGCTACTATTGTACAGGAATAGCCTCTTTCATTTGCCCATCCCAGTTTTGCTTTTGAAATTTGTTTTTCCATAGCTATCCAGTGAGAAGCTTCATCCGAAAATTTTTGAAGCTTCAAAGAAACATTTTTTGAAACAATAGTGCAATGAATCCCAGTTTCGTTTTTATTTAATTATAATACTCAACGAATACAAAAAACTTATATATGAAATTAAACACACACAAATTTTGGAAGACAACATACGCAACTTCATTTTTGCAAAAATTATATTCAAAAAAAATTAAAGCAGAAGACAAGTTACTTCAAAGAATCAGTAAGCAACAAGATTTAATATTTGATCAGGGCCGGGGCCTGGTTTTCTAGATTATAGGTGGGGTTGGGACCGGATATGTGACGAGCTTCGTAAACATTGATACATCCTAAAGTATATTTTATAATTCGAAATTCATGTTATGTTTTGTATATATGAGCATATATAAAAACATTGATGATCAACACATTCTTGCTTGGCTTATTATTCTACAAGTTGCATCCTTTTACTCTATCCTTCATTCAATAAAAATGTTCCTTCATGCTATAAAATTTTTATTGATCCAATTTTTTTCTGTGCACATCAAAAAAACCTTACATATCTAACCTATCTTCATGTTTTCCTTTTTTACGCAACCTACAACTTTTTATGTTTTCCGTTAACTATTTCCTAGCTTTTTAGCCTATTCTCTATTTCAAAGTAAATCATAACTTTATTGTAGTTGCTTGCAACCTTTTTTGAAGTAAGTTAGAGTTTATAAAAATATAAATATATGTCACTATTTAATAAACAGTATTTATTAAATGATATTTTTACTGGATATATATTTTCCGTTATAAGAACTGTTTATTTAAAAAAAAATTGGTTGTTTAGTTTTTATAGGAAATAATTATAGTTCTGCTGTGTTTCTAATGTTCATAGGTAACTCGTTGAAAAGTTTTGCTCCTGCTAAGTAAAAAGAGTTTTTTGTCATTTTGAGTTGTATTTTTGGAAGTCTCAACAATATTCCTTGCCTCAAACATATTTTTTTTGTTTAATGGTTTTGAAGAGGTTTTATTATTTAAATATATTTTTACAATAAGCCCAAGTCTCTTTTGATGATTTTCTCAATTTACTTAAAATACTTACCAATAATGTCTTTTGCT